TTTCAGCCGTGTGACTTCTTTTATTTCAGGGAGAGGCAGGGAGTCACAATCCACTGTGAAAAGGGGCGGAACTCAGTTCATATTCACTCAGAGCGAAGTCTGAAATTACATTGTCATAGGGGCAAAACTAGCAGCAAAGTACTCATAGGCCAAAGTACTCAAAGTACTCATAGGCCAAAGTACTCAAAATACTCATAGGCCAAAGTACTCAAAATACTCATAGGCCACGGCTCACATCAGGTCAGTAATGAAACACAACAGATTTTTCTTACTGCCTCATTCCAATGCCTTTCTTTAATTTGGGCAGGACTGCATCAAAGGATGTAAAAAATTTGCCTGGCATTTAATGGCTACCATTATTTGTTTTTTGTGAAAGTGAAAGATAACTGGAAACGGAACTGACAAACTGAGAAATAACAAAAAAAAAAACATGTATTTAAAAAAACGGCTATTTACAGAGATCTCAAGAACTTCAGCAGGAAATGAGGATTCCCCTAGACTCACACACTAAGATCAAGTCAATTAGACAACCAAAAACTGCATTACATCACGCATAATAGCAAAAGTTTATTGGAACAACTGAACATGGTTAATTTCTTAGAAAATCAAACAAATACATAATTTAATTCTGAATATCGTAATAGCCCGTTAAAAGCTTGCTGTCTGACTGCCTGGTGACTTTTACTGTAATGCAACTGTCTTCAGAACAAATCAGCAGCAGATACTCTGATTTTTTTTCATTTTTGTTAATATGCTGATTGATTTTGGATGTGCTTTTACTCAGGGAACCCTGGTAAGCCATCCAGTTTCACTGACTCATAGGATTTTGTGACTTGCTGAAGCAAATTGGGGTCAGGTGTCACTTGGGGGGTGGGGGGGAGGGGGGAGGGGTCAGGTGTCACTTGGGGGGGGGGGCAAGTGTCTCGCTCCAGAGCACAGCTGTTCTGTCTGTGTGAATTTTGGTGTCCATCAAGGAAGAGTAGAAAACTCCTGAGTAGAGTCTCTTATCAGTGCATTCACAGCACCGCAGCTGCGTGCCGGGTGGGGGGGAGGGGGGGGGCATTTTGTTCTTGGAGCCACTCAGACTTCAGGAAGTGCTGTATAGTGCCGTGTTACTGCGCGCGGTTCAGGGAAGGAGTGATTTACGAGGCGCGTCAGGGAATCATCTTACAGTTCAGAAAGCATTATTCTAGGCTCCTTCCCGTCTGCAGGATGTTGGAATCGTCCACGAAACTACCCACAATTCAGTGGGAGAGACCACCAGGAAACACTGCACCATAAATGAAATTTCCTCTGCTTTTCCTGTACTTCTGCCCTGGTAAATTTAGATTGCCGCTATTAATATTGCAAGTTTTATTGGACATGGCGACATTTTAGATATATATTTAGAGATTCCACTGCGTTCCTCATTTTTTGATTGCACAATACTCCAAAATAATGCACTGAGATCTGCTAGTCTGCACTTGGTTGAATTCCAGATGAATTTGCATATTAATTCATTTTGCGATCAATTTCTAGTGTCATTGGTGTATTTGAATACTAATATTTACACATTTTCATATATGGTCACGCAGGGTCATGGCAAGAGAAATGACTTGAGGCAGATCGCAATGGAATGGAATTAGTTTGAGTTAAGTCTAAGGTTAGCTGGATGAGATTATCCTTTACCATTTTACACGTCAGCGAGTTTCATAATGCAAGCTACAGTGCTGCTCTTAAAATAAAACGCAATAAAGGGCTGGTTGTATTTTATTGGAACGGGGAAATGTTCTCAGTCAATGCTAAATTAAATGTAACTGCACTGCTCTAATGATTCACCTCCAGATCCTCTGCACAGAGACACAGTCAAAGTTTATTAATTTGTTAATTTATTGTAATTTAACAATATTTTGAGTATTCGAAAATAGCTATAGGAAAAGGAGTTGACTTAACGTTTCCACGCTCACATCTTGCACATGCATATGCAGGTAGCCCAGATTCCGGACATGGGTCCTTTCGCATTAACAGTAGTGCAGAAATGCATCTCCTGCTCTGAGCAGGGTGGGTGCGGGGGGGGGGGCTCACCACCTGGAGAACACCATGTCTCTCACTGCCTACTCTTCCTGATAGTCATTTCATGCCAGCTTGTTCTTTCAAAGGGGGGGGGGGGGGCGTCTCTGCACCCGTGAGAGGAATTTAGCTGTCGCTGTCGACGGACGAGCCGTAACTATGCTAATTAGCCGCCGCCTGGATATCTGGAAAGTAGATAGTTGTGCTGTGTAGATGGGCTGGAAGGAAGGGAAGCACAACTGCTGATGTCCTTCATCCAGCCATCTTACATAATCGCTTATATAGTACAGGAACAGTGAGAGCCTGGAGGGTGTGGGGCGAGGGACTACCCAGAGGGGGCGCCAGTCCATCACAGGGTACACACACACACACACGTACGCACACACACACATGCATAGTCCATGTGTTCATATCTTTATGGGGATTCTCCATTAATTTCTATGCGCATAACCCAAATCCTAACAATGACGACCTTAACCCCGACAAAGCCCTAACCTTAACCATACAGTAAGTAACCAAACAAAATACAATAATTTTGCCCTTCTTTTGATTGCAGCGACAGATCTTTGTATAAAAATTTTAATTGAGTTTTATAAAATGAGTTTCCCCTTGTGTCCCCACAAGGACAAAATGCCAGGTTTTTATCACATTGTGGGGACATTCACACCCTATGGGGATCTGTGGGCACTAGTTTACCCAAAGCACCCTGGGTCTTGTTGGATTGAACCAGAAATGGCAAAGGAAGGGAGACTCAGGGAGAATGTGAACATCACTCCGCCAGCAAGCCGCTTGTGTTCAGGCTAACGATATGTATCGGAATTCAGTCTTAAACCAAAACTAAGCCAAGCAGAATAAAAGCTGATGAACTGATATACAGCCTCTCCGCGGGCTACGATGATGTTACGTTCCGACAAACCCATCGCAAGGGGAAAATATCGTAAGGTAAAAATGCATTTTAATTCAGTACACCTAACCTTACAAACATCATAGCCTAGCTTAGCCGATCTTAAACCCTTAAAGTGTTGAATATCTTGTGTGATTTACTGAATAATGTACCGAACGCGAAAACCATTTCGGCGTCGTAAAGTCGAAATATCGCAACCCAGGGACCATCCGTACAGGCAACGTAGGGGCACAGAGCACCTCCTAGGGGAGACTCTGGGAATGGCGTCCTGGGAGTGTCCTGTGCCTTCTCCCAGCAGGAGGGTCAAACTCAGCAGCTCAGGAAGTGAGGTGCATCCGGGCTCGGAGCGTTGGCTCCTGTATCGCCCCCGGGGTATTATTAGTACAGGACGACGTAATTGCAGGGCGGCAGGCTATAAAATTACAGGCCCGTGGAGTGAGAATGCGTGTTAGTGTTCAGGTTGCACAAGATTAATGGTCATCGTAACTGTTAGATGAAAAGGCCACTTTGGAGACTTAACAAAGAACGCAGTTTAAGTCAGGGGTGGTCAGTCTTATCCAGAATGGGCCCCTGTGCGTGTGGGTTTTTGCTGCAAGTCCCTAATTAGATTACTAATTAGAGGACTGATTGACTGAAGAGTCCTCATACCTGGGTTTGAACAGCTGACCTACAGGTTATCCCAAATACCTACACTGGCCCTTTGTGGATAAGATTGGTCTCTCCTGCTTTAAGGACACAAGCCTCTGTTGAGTCCTGATGCAAAAGCATTAGTCAGTGTTAGTTCTGTAAATGTTTATGAATATGTGTGACTAAGAGTTATTCGAGTGTATTTTAATATCAATTAAAATCAAATCATAATCAATTGAAAGTCAATGTCAATACGTATGACTAATACTGAGGCAGAATGGACCTTGTGGGGCTGAACCTCATTGAGTCTGTACACACAGACAAAGTCACTGTGATTCATCTAAAGTTTACATTATGGAAGCTGCAAAGATGGTCAGACAGAGACCGACTCCCTCATCAAACTTTAAATTTCTTTTTTGGCTTAATTTGCTAAATGTTCAACCCCATCTTTGGGAATAACCTCCGTCCCAATTCCCAGGCGCTGTTCTACTGGCCTCCCAGTAGTTTTCATTCTTATCAAAGACCCTCATCTCTGCTACGTCTTTATCACTTTTAATGATTTTACGTGTAAGAAACAGACATGCAGGATTACACGCAGCAGAAACCGAGAGCGTAAAAGTACCGTCGGTTTCTGTACGTCAAACGGCCCGGAGCCTTTCTGAGTTTGCAGAAGGAAACAACAGTCGAGAAGTAAATTCAATAATGGCACCAACATCAATCTCTAATCGGACCCCCCTGTTGTGTGGTCAGCAGCTAAACGGTTCTGATGACAGCGGGAAACCTACTGGTGGAGTGATGAGCAGCTATTTTACTGCTGTGGTTCGAGTGGAGATAAAGAGACAGACAGAGTAACAGTGGTTGATATATAAAACACATGTGGTAACACTTTACTTAAAGCTATAATGCACAATAGATACTTTCATAATGCATTATAATGGTCTGTAGAAGAATAAATGAAGTATTACCGCATCTTCTATTGACAGTCATAAGGCATTATAATGTTGATTATAATCCTTCATCCCAATGAAGTTCTCATCTATAATGTACTATAGATACCTTCATAATGCATTATAATGGTCAGTATAAGCATTAAGGATGCTTTGTACTGCATTATGAAGGTATCTATAGTGCACTATAGATGAGTGCTTCCTAGAGCATTCATAAAACATAATAAACATGGTTGTAATCTGTTATGCCTTTTTATAAATATTTATAGCCATGTTTATAATGCTTTATGAATGTATCATAACGTGTTATGAATGTCTTCATAGATTCTCATAGACATAGCATTCAGAAAGTGTTACCACAAATGTTGCCGCTCGCCGTCGACAGGGTCACTGCCGTCCCCAGCATCTCCTCCTCCTCTTTTTCCCGGTAATTCTATCCTCTAAGCCCCCTCCTGTATGCGCTGTTCCTGCAGTTTGCCGCTGCGACCTGGCCCGCTCCGGGTTCTTCCAGAAGAACGGCGAGTACATCTGCACGGTGGACTACCAGCGCCTCTACGGCACCAAGTGCGACAGCTGCGGTGACTTCATCACGGGCGAGGTGGTCTCCGCGCTCGGGCGCGCCTACCATCCCGCCTGCTTCGTCTGCAGCGCCTGCAGGTACACCTCCATTGACCTTTCACCTTTCACACCCTCCACTCCTTGCACAGGATTAGCTGAAGCACAAGATGACGTGTTTAAACAACAGCACAGCTACATCAATAGTCTGCTTTATCGTTCCAAAAAATGCTTCGGTTCCCAGACCAAGATCGGAACCTTATTTAAAAGCTCGTTAAAATCACAGTTTGGGTTAATTAGCATAAGGGCCTCTTGAATTCAGTCAGTCCAAAGCATATTCATCTTTCTATAATCTCGATAGGACTGAGTCCGAAAGCCAGGATTTCCAGCCATTCCTGCAGCCACAATCTGACCCAGCAGCAGACATGACTGCGTCTGGTTCGAGGAGAGCGTTACTCCGGCGCAGCTGTGTTTAGAGGATTAGCCTTCGCTAACCCAGCATTTAGCACACATTGAATTCTCTTCCAGCTTGCCACTCCTCCTCTTGTACATTAGCTCCTCCACCCCCTCCCCCTCCGGCGGGACATTGGCGTAATGGCGCTTGTCTTTATTCCCGTTATTAACCGCGTGACGTGCCGTCCTACGCTCATGTGCCTCCCGTGAATTTTGATGCCTCCTCCTCCCGCGCCTCCTTTGCGAAAGAGCAGCGCCGCAGGAAACAGCCGATCCATTTAAAAGATATTAGCCGTTGTTATGGAGATGCTCCGCCAGTTCAGAAGGGGAACTGGGACCTCGCGGCACTTTCTGTGGTATAAGGGGCAGACGGGGGGCCTGGCTGTTTTGGGCCAGAAAGTCAGGTGACTGGGACCATTTATTCGATTCATTTTCAACTCTCTTTACAGTTCATATTCGGCTATTTTTGCCACATATCCATGTTGTCTGGTCAGCAATCCTTATAGCAGACACGTTCGCTGTGTTCCTAAAGAGTCCTTCTCCATCCCACGCATCTCCTAACAATCTGTACTGGAGAATGATGGGATGGTGTATATTCTGATATCGGTCTGCTTCTCCACTCTCATCTGCACTGTCTAGTCCCCACTAAGGAGCTCGATAAGTACAGAATGCCTTTTTTAGCATGAAGGCTGGATGGGTCGGTGAACATCACCATAATACGTATATATAGGCACTTATTATGCGTGAGACAGCCTGTGAATTTTGCTTCATGCAAACCAGGTGTAATATGCCTCATGTTATGAGACATGGTCCTTATATGGTGTTAGGGTTCAGTTCATCAGGGGTAAGACATCCATCACCACCGTGTTGGGGAGCATTGCAGCATTATTACTGCGCAACACTTCACTTGAGCGGGCGAAAATACTCGATAGTAACTCGGTTACTACCGAAGTACAAATCATGAACGACTAACTAAGCTACATAGTTGGTACTTGTGATAAAAGATGCGTCATGATTCATTAATGATGGACAAACATGAGATCAGTATTTCACTTGTAATTCATGACTTGTTCCTTCATTATTACTTCCAGTGGTTTACAAAGGATTACAGAATTAAGATGTAGTAACAAATATAGTAACTGCTTGAGATAAAACATTAATGATAAATTAACATGAGATCAGTATGTAACTAAGTAGTATTATAATACTGCATTATTTGTGCCCTGTCAAGTAAAGTGTTACCTATGATTGTTGATGCTATTTTATTTATACTCTTAGTGGAGATGTTCGATGAGCTGTCACAAGCAGTCAGTAATCGCTGTAATAAGTGCGGTCGTGTGACAGGAGGAGTCTGCGGTCTCCGGGGTGGGTGGGGACGTCACACTGCATGGTAGACAGGGCAGTTCATGTGGGGGTTAATCCTGAGAACGTCTGTGGTCCGAGGGAATCAGGCCAGTCAAGGACGCAGCTTCGATATACAATAAATATCTTTTAACATTTGATGCTCTTTAGACCCAGGGGCAAATCTGGGGGGGTGCGGGGGAGGGGGCAGTGCCTACAATTTTGTGCAGCGGGAAGAGACGAGGCACAAACGTGGGCGCAGGTTCTTGACGGACTATTAAGGCGGCTGCGCTGGGTGGGCGAGTCGCTTCAGTTGGTGAAAAGCGAAGTTAACGGCAAAAACAAAATAATCAAGCTTGTGGAATTAAGGTATTTTGCAAGAAATCAAAGTGAGTTGCATATTTGTAACTGCAAAGTATTGCATAAATAACTTTGAGTTTTCAAAATTTTTGCTCCTTAATGTTGACAAACTAGTGTAAGTAAGACTTGTAAGACGTTATGGTCAAATAGATCCGCCCCCCTTACAGGACAACTGGCCCCAGTCTGACCCCCCCCCCCAGTTGAAATGGTCTAGAACCGCCTCTGCTTAGACCCACCTGAACCCATTTCATCTTGAGATGATCATGTGACACGCCTATAAAAGGAAAGACCATGTGACGTCTTATTATTACGAACACAATGAAAGTACTGAAGGGCTGCTGTGGGTCAGTGGTTACCGGCCTCGTAATCTCCTGCACGACGCCCCGTTAGACTGCGTTGTTACTACGCGGTAGGACTGCGTACGGAAGAAACCGCTGGACGGTGAAGCAGACACCGCGCAGTACGAATAAACAGGCATTTAAGGATCGATAACAGGAAAAATACAATAAGCGGATGAAGATGATCGAGCACAAGTAATGTCCACTTTGCTTAGCCCTTTGGGACTAACGTCTTACGTAATCTCTGCATCAGTCCTGGCCTCCTCCCATCAGTATCTTCCCTTAATCACCTGCTTCACTAATGCTTCACTAATACTAATATGTCAGTGCTAAGGGCCGTAGTTCAAATGTATATTTGGATCTGAGTTGTTCCTGATTGCCCCGAAAGTAGGTTAAAAAAAAACAGTGGCTGGTCAATCCTTCAGGAAGGAAACAACCCTTCTCAGTGGGGAGGATTTAAAATTAGGAATGTGTGGAGTAACATTTATTTAAACTAGGTCGTCCATGTTTGCTTCAGGGTACAGTAAGACATGGTAATTGCCGGTTTCGCCTTCCTGTTTTCGGGTACAGAGGCCAGTCCCAGAGCCTCTGTTACGTAATGCGTCCACAGATACACTGAGCTGTATCTGCATCGCTCTACTCCTCTCCAGCTCCTACCTTCTCTCCTGACCACCCACCTCCACCCACTGCCCACTGGTACCAGTTACCTGCCGGCAGGAGAGCGTGTGTTGGGAGAAGACCTCTGCCTTTGGAAGCTGGCCCAGTAGGGGGAGGGGGGAGGGGAGGGGGGGGTGCCACAGGAACACACACTGGTAGTGTGAGCCAACGAGGGCGGGGCTGCCACGGACGAGCCCGGGTGGGCGGTGATGACGACGTCCACATGCAGACAGACAGGGCTGGGAGTCCTGACCCAAACCCAGACGTCTGGAGGAAGAGCCGCTGTCTGTGGCATAGAAAGGCTGTTTGCTTTCTTGTGGATGTGGGAGGGTGAACCTCAGCCTTGGTTGTCAGGTAGCTCTGAAAGCAGGGGTCTCCAACTCCGGTCCTGGAGAGCTTTGATCCAGTAGGTTTTCTATCCTACCCGGCTTCTGACGAGCGACACCTGTTCTCAGGTAAATACCAGGAGCAGGTGTGGCTCATCAGACACAAGGTAGGATAGAAAACCTGGAGAGTAGCTCTCTAGGACCGGAGTCAGAGACCCCTGATTTAAAGGAACGACATCATTTTAGTTTGAGGTGGAGGTTTTGCATGAGTGGGGACTGTAGGGTATATTATTCTGGTAAAATCACATTTCCAAACACCAGTCTTACATCCTCTCAGGCTTGTCAGAGTGATAAAACTCACTTCTGTGAAGTATTAGTGCATCTAAGTCCCCATCTCAGTCCAGGCGGCTGAGTTATCATGGTAAGGACTCAGTCTCTGTGACCTTTGACCTGTGGCACCAGTGTGGCCAGTGTGAGTTTTTATGGTAGGATTTACGAATTAGTGGCTGTGTCAGTACAGGTCAGGGTCCTTCAGTCTGAAGAGGGTTCGACCCTGGGGTTCTCTGGAGATGGTGTCTATTCCAGGCCACACAACAGACACTGAGGGAAGTCTTTCCTGGGTCCCTACAATTTTTTGTTTCAACTTTTTATTGTTTGATATCA